TTCCACATTGTTCTCCAAAATGTTTAGATAAGTTCACAGTTCCACCAATAGTGTATTAGCGTCAACTTCCAAGAGCCAAGATGGTCAAGCAAGCAGGAAATCTGAACTCTTCTGAATTCACCTCTATGGAACTATAAAATAGTACTTTAGAATGAATTCTGGAATGGCAAAACCAACAAAAAGATGGGGTGAAATAATTTTCCAGACTGAGACAACTTGGAAGGTTAGCAGGAAAAGTCTGTCTCGCTCAGGTGAAAGAGGAGTGTAGTCCAAGGCAGGCAGTACCCTGGCCAGCCCGCAGGACACCCTAAATCCCAGCGCAGGTCAATGACCACGCCCTGCGGCCCTGGTGCGGCAAAAGGAGAGCAGCCAACTGTACCCCCAACCCTCCCCTATGGCCTTCACAGCACCAGCCCGACCCCCACTCTACAGCACCAGGACAGTGGCTGGACCCTCATGGTCCCAGGGCAGCCACAGATCCAGTGAGGACCCAGCACAGAACCAGATGAGCAGCCTGGCACCTTGCAGCCCCTGCATAGTAGCAGGTGAGTGGCCAGGGCCCCAACAGCATCTGCATAATGCCCAGGCAAGTAGTCAAAGTCTGCATCTTCTGGCATGCAGGAGCAGAATTCAATTGCTAAAGTAACAAAATTGGCTGGAAAAAAATGAGCAGATACCCCCACATACACCAAAAAAAAAGAAGAAGAACCTGACCATAGAAAGTTATTATAGTGACAGGAAAGATCAAAACACATACTCAGAAGAGGACAACAATGTCAAAATGCAAGGCCTCAAAGAAAATTGGTCTCAGGCTAAAAAAAGAACTCTTGGAAGAGCTCAAAATGACTTTAAAATTCAAATGAGAGAGGTAGAAGAAAAATAGGGAAAATAAATGAGGGTAGTGAAAGAGAATCATGAAAAAAAGTTAACAGCTGGATAAAGGAAACACAAAAAATAGAAAAAGATATACAAATATTTACTGAAGAAAATAATTACTTAAAAAGTAGAATTGGGGGAAGCCAGGTGGTGCAGTAGATAGAGCGCCAGCCCTGAAGTCAGGAGGACCTGAGTTCAAATCCAGACTCAGACCAAACACTTGACACTTACTAGCTGTGTGACCCTGGGCAAGTCATTTAACCCCAATTGCTTTAAAAAAAAAGTAGAATTGGCCAAATGAAAAAGGAGGTAAAAAAGCTAACTGAAGAAAATAACTCCTTAAAAATTAGAACTGACAAGTGGAAAATAATGATTCCATGAGACATCAAGAATCAGTCAAATAAAATCACAAGAATGAAAAAATAGAAAAAAAAATGTGAAATAGCTCATTGGAAAAACAACTGACCTGGAAAATAGATCTAGGAGAGATGATTTAAGAATTATTGGACTACCAGAAAGCTATGCTCAAAAAAGGAACTGGACTTCATATTTAAAGAAATTATTAAAGAAAACTGCCCTGATAGTCTAGACCCAGAGGCTAAAGCAGACACTGAAAAAATCCACCTGCTGAAAGAGATATAAAAATCAAAACTCTCAGGAACATTATAGCCAAATTCCAGAACTTTCAGATCAAGGAGAAAATCTTGCAAGTGGCCAGAAAGAAAAAATTCAAATAGTGTGGAACCACAGTCAGGATTACACAGAATTTAGTAGCTTCTACATTAAAGGATTGGAGGGCATAGACTATGATATTCTGGAAGGCAAAGGAACTAGGATTACAACCAAGAATCACCTACCCAGCAAAATTGAGCATAATCCTTCAGGGGGAAATGGATATTAAATGAAATAAAAGACTTTCAAGCTTTCTTGATGAAAAGACCAGAGTAGAACAAAAAAATTATTTTCAAATACAAGACTCAAGAAAATATAAAAAGGTAAAAAAGAAAGAGGAAACATAAGGGATTCAATAAACCTAAACTGTTTGCATCCCCGCACAGGAAGATGATACTTGTAACTGTTAAGATCTGTATCACTATTAGTGCAGTTAGTATACATAGAAGATGTAGGGACAAGGGACTTTGACGGGATGATATAAAAAAAATTAAGGGGTGAGAAAGAGGGTTACACTGGGGGCCAAAGGAAGGGAAAGGTAGAATGGGGTAAACTCACATTAAGAGGCACAAAAGACCTATTATAATGGAAGGGAAGATGGGGGTAGGGTGGGTGGTGGGCATCACTTGAATCTTACTCTCATTAGAATTGACTCAAAGAGGGAATACCATATACAATCAGTTGGGTATAGAAATCTATCTTGCCATAGAAGGAAGTAGGAGGGGTGGGGTAAGAAAAGGAGAAGGAAGGGGACTGACAGAAGGGAGGATAGATTGAGGGAGGCAGTGATCAGAAGCAATACACTGGTGAAGAGGGAAAGGGTAAAAGGAAAGAGAGAAGAATAAATAGAAAGAAAAATAGGATGGAGGGAAACACACAGTAATGGTCTCTGTGAATGTGAATGAGATGAATTCACCCATAAAACAGAAGCAGATAGCATAGTGGATTAAAAACCAGAAGGCTGCAATATATTGTTTACAAGAGAACACTTGAACCAGAGATACACACAGAGTAAAAGTAAGAGGATGGAGCAGAATCTATTAGGCTTCAGCAGAAGTGGAAAATCTGATATAAATTAGATTAAGACCAACGTGTCACACCATCTACCAAGATAAGTTCCAAATGGAAACACGATATATCATGATGTAAATGGTCACATCATAAACAAATTAGAAATCATATTGTCCTCCCTGGCATATAGCAAGCACTAATACAAGCTCCCTGAGGTTGCTTCCTCCATAGCATTAGGTCCATTTCTTTAGCTTCCTACAGAAGGACAGTCAGTCCCAGAATCATGTAATGAAAGCTGTCAGGAGCTATGGAGGCCCCAATAAGAAACTCCCTCATTTGACAGAGGGAGAAACTGAGGCCAGATGACTTGGTCAAGGACTTGAACCCAAATATGTCCAATTCCCAGTGTGGGAGGTGGAGAAGGGGATGCGGTTAATGAAAGGAGCTGCGCTGGTTCTACTGGGTCTCTCTGGGTCTACCCTGCTAGACTAGAAGCTCCAGGAAGGCAAGGTCCTCCTTTTCCATTTCTATAGCCAAATATAAAATGGCACCTGAGACCTGCATCAAGATGTGGGTGGGGCAGAAGAGGAATCCTGACTGGGTAATGTCATCTTTGGACAGCAACCCCGCCTCTTCCCTGGCTGGACTTGGAAGGAAGGGTGGTGGGGAGGGAAGGCGATGATGTAGGGCACAAACTCACAGCTTGGGGGCAGGGCGGTGAGGGGGGGGTGGGGGGTGGAGAGAATGATGCATGCTGCTACATCCCTGAGCACCAGGCTTCATCCCTATACCAGAGGGGAAGGAAGAGGGAGGGAAATATGCCAGCACATTTCCATTTATGCAGCTCCTGATCCCCAGAGACAGTTGGATGAGGCACTGCTACTGTGTGGGCAAGTGACCACCCAGGTGTGGAGGGGAGTGGGAGATGCAATGCAGGGAATAGACGAGCAGCGGGAGAGGAGAAGTGTGCAATGTAAGGAGGCAGTGGGAGAGGGCAAGTGTGCCACGCTGGGAGGGGACCACAGGAGAGGTAGAGTTTGCAATGTAGGGAGGCGGCCAGCAGGAGAGGACAGGTGTGCACTGAGAAGGGGGCTGTGTCATGCATGCTTAGGAGGCTTTGTGCAGGGGAAGGGAAGGTCTGTGGACTCTGCAGTTCTGCAGACTCAGAGAAGAGACCTGGGCTCTACCATCACCCCTTACACAGAGTTGCACCTGATCTCAATCCCTCCTGCTCTTATAGGGGGATCCATGGTCCCCAGTCTCAGAAGACAGAAAAGGGACTAATAGAGAGGGGTTGGGGGGCTGGGGGACTGACAATGTAGGACAGCTCCTACCACCCTTTGGACCAGACATGTGAGTATGCTTTGGTATCATCCAAGAGAGAAACTCTTGGGCAATTCTGCAACAGAGGAGTCAAGGGAAGGGAATCTATAGCTAACATCCCCTTCTCACCTCACCTGTTCTCTTTTCCTTCTCTGTTTCTCCATCTTCATCCTGAGTTGCTTTATTCAGTGCTGACCCCTTGGTTAGCATCTTTTTCATTCTTGATTCTTAGTAGATTGTGACCTTAAGCAGGTTATTTTACTTCTCTGGATCTCAGCTTCCTTATCTCTGAAATCAGATTATTAGAGTAAATGATATCTCAGATTGCTTCTTGCTCTAAATCAATGGCCCTAAAGTGAATAGAAAGCCAACCTGAAAGCCAGGATGACCTGGGTTCACATCCTGACTCTGACACATACTGGCTGTGTGACCCCAAGCAAGTCATTTAACCTCAATAAGAAGGGTGTACAGACCAAAAAAAGTCAAATATTTTATATACAAGATGGGGAGGGGGTGTCCTGCCCATGTAAAATGTGCATCCATATGAGTTATCCAGACACATAGACAGTTGGCACACAGACAACATGGCTCAATACTTCTGGAATCTTACCCAAACCTCACCAAGGGATGCTTCACTTTCTGTTCTGAGTGGAGCAAAAGGGCCTCTATGTTGGCTACTCTTTCTCCGAGTGTTTAACCAGCTCTCAAGAGATTTTGAAATTTTCAGCATGTGCATTTGCACCTCAGGAACTGTAAGATGCTACCTTCTTGAGACCAGAACATGAAAGAGGATCATAAGAGAAGAGGTCACAAGAGAAGCAGGTGCTGCAGTCCATTTGGCCAGAATTCAGGTGAGTGGGGCTCATTTTCCCTCCTGGTGTTCCAAGGCATCATTCAGGGAATGGGCTTCTCGCTTCCCTTTGTCTCTACTCCAGGCCAGTTCCATCCAGAGCCCTACACTACCACTGTTCTCATCCAGGAGACGTGGCTTGTTCTGGTAAATGGTGCCAAATTCCCAGAGTTTCTCGGTCACTGAAGCTACACAGTGCATTAAAAGGCTTCTAGACCACTCATTTTGTGTTGATTTTATCTCTATCTCATATTTACTTATCAGGGAACATGGTCTGTTCCCATGTCCCTCTCAACTCCCCCTTCCAGGAGAATGTAAGTGCCTGAAGACAAGCGCTGTCTCACTTTTGTACCTGTATCTTCAGTGCCTGTCATGTTGCAGGGGCTTCGTACATGTTTGATGGATGGGTTGTTGGTGAGGCTCAGAACCAGGAGAGCAGTTGCCTTCGTCACTGGTCCCTTCCCCTTTCGAGGGATGGAATTATGATGAAAGCAAGTGAAGAGGCTGTCAGCTTCTCCACTCTTTCTGGCAGGGATCTGAGCGGCTCACGTGCCTTCTTTTGGAGAAAGCCCCCGGGTTCTTCCCACTGGCCACACATTCTTTCTCCTTCCCACCTCCCTACTTGTGTAAGGATTCCCCTCTGCCTCCTCAGCATCCTTCTCTTCTTTGTGTGCACGTTGAAGCCCACTCCCATCTTGCAAAAGAGGACGTCGTTCTCTGGTAATCCAGACTGTGAAGAGGCACTGGGGCACCTGACTCTTTCTTCTAGGACACAGACCAGCCTGAGAAGAGCAGTGAGTCATTCAGCTGTGGCAGCTTGGACACAAGCAGTGCCCACCCCATGCCAGTCACTGTCACGTTCTCCCTGCACTCCGTGCTTGCTGGCGTTAGATTTTCTGTCCTTTTCTCCTCCGTGCTAGTAGTGCCCATAGAGAATGGCAGGGGAAGATTCCGTGTCGGGACTTGCCCCTCCAGAATTGTTACTGCCTTTCTCAGCTCCTTTAGGGCCTTATCTACTTTGAAGTAACTCTGCCCAAAACAAGATTGGCATAGTTCTAACCAGTTTGCCACAGATCATTACATTTTCAGCATGAGCATCCACACCTTGGAAATCCCTAGTCACTACAAACTAGGGCATGATTTTGTTTGATTGATTGTCCAGACTTCAGAAAAGTGTTAATGACACAGATTAAATTTAAAAGCCCATGCATAGTTTGTTTTTTTCCCTTTGGAGAGACATTTACTGCCATACTCCAGTTTTGTTCTATGAACATTGCTTGAGCTCAGGAATGTAGTAGAAGGGAGTAAAGTCATCACCAGACTGAAGGCCTGTTTTCTTTATGCTAATAATGATGATGATGACGATGATAAGGATATCTGAAATGTATGTAACACCCATAAGGTTTACAAAAAGAATTCACATCCATTATCTCATTTGAGCCTTACAACACCCCTGGCAAGAGTAGTGAGTGTTATTTTAATTAAAGCTAATAGACAATATTTGTATTTGAGTATAGCGGTTAGTCTTGCTTTATTATAAGCTATATCTTGTCTCAGTTAATTATACACGTTGGAGGTTTCAGTAGAGTACTTGTTTTCCTTGGGTATATTTTGGGAGGTTGAGCTTACTCAGCAAAATAAAAGCTCTTGACACGCAGGCCTACAGTGGGCCCCCTTGTCCATATGTTCTCAATGGCTATTTGACATCAATAACTCAGAAGCCCTCCTTGGTGGGATGACTGTTCTCGCTCCCTCCTCCCAACTTTGTGTCCTCTGTGGCTCCTGTGAATGAATGGTTCCCAAGTGATCGGGAATGTGCCTGATGTTTCAGGGATTGGTGACCTTCGAAGATGTGTCTGTGGACTTCTCCCGATCTGAGTGGAAACAGCTGAAACCTGCCCAGAGGGACCTGTACAAGGATGTGATGCTGGAGAACTATAAGAACCTGGTCTCCCTGGGTGAGGAGCACTGCTTCCTGGGACTGAGAATCTGTCTGCCCTTTGGGATGGATGTCTTTGTATCCTTGTTTCTTAAGAGCTGGGTCTGGAGGCTGAGGGAGGGGGGAAGGTCTGAGTCTTGGCTTGATGTGCAGGGTGAGTCAAGAATCCATATAATAATGGAGGGAGATGCCTACGTACTTCAGAGACCAAACCCAAGATGTTTCTGATCTCTGTTCACAAGAGAAACATCCCTGCCTTGCAAACTGGGAACCAGCATCTCTGCTATGCTTGGAGTACACATTCTCCACCCAATGTTTATAGCTCAAAATATTTCCCCTAAAGTCACAGGGCATCTAAGTGGTATAGTGGATAGACTGCTGGGTCTGGAGTCAGGAAGACTCATCTTCCTGAGTTCAAATGTGGCCTCAGACACTTACTAGCTGTGTGACCTTGGGCAAGTCATTTAACCATGTTTGCATCAGTTTCCTCATCTGTAAAATGAGCTGGAGAAGGAAATGGAAAACCATTCCAGTCTCTCTGCAAAAAGAGTCAGATATGACTGAAAAGACTGAACAATGACAAAGTCTCAGGGTAGATCCCTGGAAACGTGAAAAGCTTCAGACCCACTCACCTCAGGATGGAGTGAGTTAAAATGAGCTACTTTTCCTTCAGCTTCAATTAACTCTTAGACCCACCTCCCGATACTTCCTGGGAATGTAATCTGGAGTATTCTTCAGACTGGGTCCTCTACACTCTATAGCCCTTTGAGCTTCTTAGTGTATCCTCATTTTACTGCAAAAAAGAAGGCAGCGCAGGTCTTGTGAAATCCCAATTGTTTTTCTGCAGTATTTAAAGTGTTTTTTTTTTCTTGTTGCCTGCAACATTTTCTTTTCAACCTTGGACTTTTGAAACTTGACTATGACATTCCTGTACATTGTCTTCCTAGGATCTCTTTCAGGTGGTGATAAGTGGATTCTTTCTATTTCTTGGAACATTATATTTCAAAGAGAAAAGAAGCTGGGGTTGCACCCAAGAATAACTTACCAAGCAAAGTTGAGTATAATCCTGGATGAAAAAAAATGGTTATCTGATGAACTGAAAGCCTTTCATGTATTTGTAACAAAAAGGCCAGAATTCAATGGAAGATTCAATATAAAAGATCCAGAATATAAGGAAAACATTAAAGACTAATTATAAGGCAATGATTAAGGTCAAACTGTTTACTTATGGCATATAAAAATGTTATTAATATTAGTTATTATTAATAATGGTATTATTAAAACTAGTATCATTACTAAGATAGTTTGAAAGAAAGGTTGTAAAAATAAATAAGTATAAAAAAGAAAAACAAAGAAAGGTTGGGGCTGAGTTGTGTATGATGGGGTAATTCTAAAAAGCAAATTTGGGTAGGAAAAAGTTAAAAGGAGAAATTATCTCATGAAAACAGGGCATGAAAGGAAGAACTAATATAGAGGAAGCAGATGGGAGCGAAGGGCTAGTAATATTGGAACCTAACTCAACTGTGTTGAAGAAGAAACAAGGCATACATCTGGAGAGTTTTAGAAGTCTTCTGAACTTCTGGAGAGGTGAGAAAACTGGGGGATAGAGTGAGGAAGGATCTTTTAGAAGGGCATAGAGATTAAAATTAGGAGAGTGAGGGGCAGCTAGGTGGTGCAGTGGATGGAGCACCGGCCCTGAAGTCAGGAGGACCCGAGCTCAGAGTTGGCCTCAGACCAAACACTTGACACTTATTAGCTGTGTGACATTGGCCAAGTCACTTAACTTTGATTGCCTCACACACACAAAAAAAAAAGATTAAAAGGGTGGGGTGAAAAGATAAGGAGGGACTTTTTTTGGGGGGGTGAGTAAAATAAAGATTAAGAGGGAAAGGGGAGAAGATAAGATAACTGGGATTGTGAGGTAATCAAGGTTAAGTGACTTGCCCAGGGTCACACAGCTAGTAAGTGTCAAGTGTCTGAGGCCAGATTTGAACTCAGGTCTTCCTGACCCCAAGGCAGGCTTTGGATGCTGAGATAGCTCTGTTTCTCCATTTGTTGTTCTTGTTCAGTCATGTCTGACTTTTTGTGACCCCCATTTGTGGTTTTCTTGCCAAAGATACTGGAGTGGTTTGCCATTTCTTTCTCTAGCTGATTTTACAGATGAGGAAACCAAGGCAAACAGGGTTAAGTGACTTGCCCAGGGTTACATAGCTAGGAAGTATCTGGGGTGAGATTTGAACTCACAAAGATGAGTCTTTCTGACCTCAGGTCTGTTGCTCTATGCACTATGGCACCACCTAACTGCCCCTTCTTTCTTCATAGTTTTTCCACTTATTTTCCCACCAACAGGGAATTAGTTTTTTAAACCAGATGTGATCTCATCTCCTGCCTGGAACAAGGGGGAGTACCATGGATTCCAGTGGGCCATGTCCCAAAAGGTAAATGAGTGAGTGAGTGAATTGAGTTAATAAATAGTGAATCAGTGAATTCTGAACAGACACAAGTTATTGCAAGCAAGAGGTTAGAACAAAATTGCTACCAGTCAGGCAAATTAAAAAAAATCGGGTTTTACCATCATACTATCAGATGAAGCAAAAATACAAATTCACAACTGAGATTAACAACAAAATTGCATTATACTTAAAGGAAGAGTAGATAATGAACAAATATCAATATAAAACTCATATCCACCAAATGGCAAAGTGCCTAAATTTACATAGGAAAATTTAATTGAATTTCAAAAAGAAAAGAATTAACACAATAATAGGAACACAAAGACAGTGAAAATAAACCTGCAAATACTTAAATCCTTTGCAACAATACACAGTAAAAAGAATGATTAATTCAGGAAGCAGCAGGAGAGATACCAACCTAAATAGAGATCTCATAATGAAATCCTGAATAATAAAAATGATAACTGTGAAAAAACAATAATACCAGTAAAGAAAATATACCAAAATTTCTGGGATATAACTAAAGGAAATATTCTATTCCCCAAAACATGTTAACAAAATTTTCAAGACAGCATTAACAAACTGAATATGAAATTTTAAAAATATGAAATTCATTTTTCCATGATTGGGCTTTCCTCTCCTAATTTATCAGAAACTCTTTGGAAGGGAAGGTGATTTCCCTTCAAGGTTCCCATCACTTCTATCCATTTTTTCCCTATTGGTGAGAATTAGGCTGAGAAAAAAAATGTGCTGTTATTGGTTATTTTGCCTTTTGAAGGGTGAAGTTATCATGAAAGGAAATCTTAAAAATTATTAGCTCAGAGAAAACTTCAGCAAATGTCTGGATAATGGAAATTCCCCATGGCAACCATATCATGTTCTTTCTCTTTTTTTTTAAGGCAATTGGGGTTAAGTGACTTGCCCAGGGTCACACAGCTAGTAAGTGTCAAGTGTTTGGTCTGAGGTCAGATTTGAACTCAAGTCCTCCTGACTTCAGGGCCAGCGTTCTATCCACTGCGCCACCTAGCTGCCTCTCATATCATGTCTTTGTATCACTCTTTTGACCTGTTTCTCAAACTCCTCATGCATTTTTTTTCTTTTTTTCTCTTGAGCAACTGGTCACAACCTCTCCCTACATCCATTTTCCTATTTGTCGAAAGTGTCTGACTAAATAAGCTCTAAGGGGCAGCTAGGTAGCACAGTGGATAGAGCACTGTCCCTGGAGTCAGAAGGACATGAGTTCAAATCTGGCCTCAGACACATAACACTCACTAGCTATGTGACTCTGGGTAAGTCACTTAACCCCAATCGCCTCACCAAAAATAAATAAATAAATAAATGAACGAATGAATAAATAAGTGAATGAATGAATGAATGAATAAATAAGCAAATAAGTGAATGAATGAATGAATAAATAAATGAATAAATAAGCTCTAAGATCTCTTCTAGTTCAGATAATTAAATGATGCTAGTCTCTGGTCCACCACCACTTCAAAGTATAGCATGACCCTTCCTAAAACGCCACCCCCAGAACTGCATGTCATACTACAAAGTCCATGTGACTAGGGCATTGTAAAACGGGGCTTGGTTCTAAATACTCTACCTCTTACAGTGAAGTCTAAAACCAAATTATGATTCTTGGCTGCCAATTCTCTATGGCAGGAGTGGGGAACCTTCGACCTTGAGACCACATGTGGCCTTCTAGGTCCTTGGGTACAGCCTTTTGACCACGTCTAGGTTTTACAGAACAAATCCTTTCATGAAGGGGATTTGTTCTGTGAAGTTTGGATTCAGTAAAAGGGCTGCACTTGAGGACCTAGGGGCCACAGTGGCCTCGAGGCTGCAGGTTCCCCACCTCTGCTCTATTGACTAGAGAAAATTCATGATTCTAACAAGGGTTCAAATTCTTAAACAATTATATTTAAATGATTATCTTTCAGCCGTGGATACTACCAGATGTGAGAAACAGGATTCACCTCCAGAGTAAGAAGGAAGAAAATCACCTGAGACACGGGGTCATGCCCCACAGGCACACATTTAGGACATATCTCGTCTAAGAGATGAAGTTACAGAAATGTATTGGAAAGCTCACAGAGGTGAATCCAAGGAAATTGCTTTCCAAGGAAAGAGATTCCAAACAACAGACCTTCATCTGTAAGGAAGCCCCCTCTAGGCAGGGAAGCCATTCCCTTGGGAGAAGTTTCATTCAAAGCATCTTCAGGCACACAAAAGCATCCAGTAATAATAAATATGGGATTCTCTCCAGTTTTCACATAGTCTTACCCAACAGAAAATACTATGAATAAGAGAGAAATCCTGTGCCTACAGGGAATTTGGAAAAGCCTTCAGTAGTCATATACACCTTATTGGAATTCTGAGTATTCATAGTAGAGGGAAGCTATGTAAATGTAAAGGATATGGGAAAGCCTTCACCCAATATTCCTCTCTTATTTCACATGAAAAACTTCACAATGGAGAGAAACTCTATGAATGTCAGGATTGTGGAAAAGGTTTCACCTCCGACTCAGCCCTTACTAGACATCAGAGAGCGCAAACTGGAGAGAAGTAATGTAGGAGGGTCTTCACCTACTGTTTTTCCTCTCTTGTTACTCATGAAAGAATTCATAATAGGGAGAAAGCCTTTAAATGTAAGGAGTGTCAGAAGAATTTCATGTCTAGCTCAGCCTTTACATGATATCAGGGAAATGATACTGGAAAAAAGCCCCATACATACAATGAATAGGGGAAGGCCTTCCCCCACATTTCCTCCCTTATTACTCATGAAAGCATTCAAAATGGAGGTAAACTCTATGAATGTGGGGAGGGTTTCACCTGGAGGTCAGTGCTTAGAGCCCATCACAGAATTCACACTGGATAGAAACCTTGTAAATACAAGAAATACGGGAAGCCATTAAACCAGTGTTTTTCCCTTATTTCACATGAAAGAATTCTTAAAGGACAGAAGCCTTGCAAATGTAAGGAATGTGGTCCCTTTGTAAAAGCTATTTAAGTCTCTGATATATCAACTATTGATATGGAGGGGAGCCCAGAGGTGGGAGTGCACAGATAAGAAAAGACATCCCTGAGCTCCCCAAGCCTACCCCCTAGAAACCTAGAGACAACCAAATCTAGCACTGCTCTGGGAGACACAACTCCGTAGGAGTGGGACGTCCCCAGAGTCCAGACAGCTTCACCCTCCTCCCTTCAGTTGCCAAAATCTTGCTGTTCTTACCTCCACCTTGTGTATCCACGCCCTTCTCTCCATTAACAACCACCTCGCCCACCCCCACATCATCCTGCCTTTGTGGGGCAGGATCCCTACCTAGCCTCTTCCATCTAGGAGATTGTACAAGCGCTCCCTCCCTTTGCAATAGGAAACTCACAAGGTGATATGGGCTTACATTAATATAATGCCTTTGACTGATTCAGCTAAGGAAAGTATCAGGGCTAATTGCCTTATAAGGCCGATAAGTGGTGTAATGGACAGAATGCTGAACCTGGAGTCAGGAAGACCTGAGTTCAAATTTGGCTTCAGATGCCAAAATTAGCTGTGTGACCCTAGGCAAGTCACTTAACCTTTGCTTGCCTCAGTTTCCTCATCTGTAAAACAGGGATAACAATAACATATATTTCCCAGGATTGTTGTGAGGATCAAATAAGGGAGTACTTGCAAACTTTAAAGTGCTAAAGAAATTCAGGCTATTTTATTTGGTACTCAAAGAGGTGGGTGATTAACTGATTGACATTTCTTAAGCCTGTCCTTACACCTATATACCTACGCGCTGTCCTCCCTGGCTGGACTGTAAGTTTTTCCGGGGAAGGTCCTGTTTTGTCTCTGGATCCCCGGGGCCCTGCACGAGGCCTGTCACACAGCTGGTGCCTAATAAAAGCTCCCTGTTTCAGGTCACTTCTCCCCTAGCCTTGAGTCCAATTCTTTAGCTCCCTACACAAGGAAGAGCCCATAATGACTGAATGAAAGTTGAGACCCTCTCGGGAAATTCCCTTATTTGACAGAGGCAGCAAACTGAGGCCATGACTTGGCCAGATATTTGCACACCCGTGGCTCTGCTGCATTTCATGGGACCTTTGCAGTCCCTATTGGACTAGGAGCTCCCGGACTGCAGGGCCAATCGATTTCTTTTTTCCTTCCTGTCTCCGGTGGAAGCACCGCAATGCGCTCTCAGCAGGTGCTCAATACTTGCTCAGTACACGCGCAGAGCCACCCCAGTGGGAGGAAGGAAGAGGAGGGGGAATAGCTTGCTGGTGCACCGGGGCAGAGAGGGACCCCGGCTGGGTGACGTCATCCGCTCGGCAGCGGCCCCGCCCCTTTCCCGGAGCCCGGCAGTGGGGGGTCTGCAGAGCGCAGGCGCAGAGCGGGGGGGGGGAGTTACGCGCCCCTAGCTTCGCTCGAGCCGCTTTGTCCCCATGGGGGAGGGGGAAGGAGAGACCGTGCGTCTGCGCGTTCGTCGGTGCAGCCCCTGCTCCCTGGAGACCGAGCCAGCTGGAGGAAGCTGCGGGGCCAAGGGGCAGCCTAGGTATGGCGGCGGGGGAGTTCGGCGGACAGAGGTGCGGTGCAGGGGGAGGGGACGCAGGGACAGTTCCATCCCCGAGGAAGTTAGCCGGTTGTAAAGGGGTGGGGGTGGGCCAGAGACCCGTAGGGAGGGGGCGGCGACACATGGGTGGACCGGCGTGCAGTGGGAGGGGGCGGGCGGCGGAGGAGGGCGTGTGCAGGGCAGAGGGGGGTCTGGCTGACTTCTAACTGGGGGCAGCGGGAGATGGTGGGTTCGTAACCAAGGGCAACAGATAAGGGCTGGCAGAAGAAAAGCTGTGTAACCAAGGGCAACAGGTGAGGGCCGGTGTGCAGAGAGCCGGGGAAGGGAGGCAGTGTAACCAAGGGCAACCGGAGATAGAGGCTGGTAACCCAGGGCAACAGGTGAGGGCTGGGGTGCAGTGATGGGGGGAAGGGAGGCTACGTAACCAAGGGCAACAGGAGCTGGCGGGAGTGTAACCAAGGGCAACAGGTGAAGGATGATTGGTCACGAGCAGGGGAGGGAGGATGAGTAACTGAGGGCAGAGGGAGAGGGCGGATTTGCCTTGAACCCTGGCTGGCCTGCAGGAACAGGACACCAGAGGCTGGTGAGTGTGCAGCGGGAGGAGGGGAGTTGGTGTGTAACCATCACCTGCAGGTAAGGGCTGCGAGGGGGTTGGGAGGAGCCCCCCGGAGTGGCTGACCGCTTGTGTAACTGGGAGCTAGCGTCCAGTTCCAGCGGCTGACTCGTGTAAATGGTTGCTGTAAGGAGGATGGTGTGTAAATGGGAATGCTTGGGGAAGGCAGGTTTGCAGTGGAGGGAAGGGACCTTCCGATGTGTAAACTGTATAACCGGGTGGGAGGAGCAGATTCTGTGTGCCCACTGTCTGGGGAATGCAAAAGGGGGGATGGGTGCAGCGTACCCTGGCTGGGGATGGAGGGAAGCGAGATGTGCATGCAGCTGGAGTGCTTTGGAGGAAGCTGGGAGTTTCACATAGTAATGCCCTGGTAGGCGTCTGTGTCCTGGGCAGGGCCCCTGTTGGGCTTTGGAAGGCTGGGCTCCGCAGTTCTGCAGGCAGGAAAGGTGCTGTGGGGACAGAGGGAAAGACCTGGGCTCCCCATGGCTCTTTACACACTGTTGTACCTCATATCAGTCTCATGCCATAGGGGCCTCGTGGTCCCCAGTGACAGGACAGAAAGAGGCCTGATGGAAGGGCACTGAGGGGTTGACAGTCCACGCCCAGACCCTACCAGCCTTGGACCAGAAATGTGGGTGTGCCCTGGTTGTAAGCAGACAGTGCATCATGACCGACAGAAGCCCGGAGGAGGGATGGGTAGTCAATCAAAGGGGCCTCTCTAATGACCCTCCCCACCCACCCACCTGCAGTGTTCTCCCTCTGTCCTCCTGCTCCATCCTTATTCTAAGCCACAGCGAAGCCCCTCCTGGCCCATGACCCATATCTTCTCTTCTTTGGGCCCCACTAGTGTGTGATCAGCAGATCTCTTCAGCTCTGGGTCTGTTTCCTCATCTCTAAAATAAGGGAGGAAGTGATCTCTGTTGCTGTTTCTTGCTCCAAATCGATTCTTCTAAAGTAAATAGAAAGCTAGGAAGACCTGGGTTCAGGTCCTCCCTCTAACTCGAATTCTAGCTGTGTCGCCCTAAGTAAGTCACTTAACCTCAGTGTTCTAGGTAGGTCATTAATGGCAAAAGGTGAAGTAGAGGTAAGTTCCTCACCCTGGAGTTCTTTGTCCCGTTGAAATCTCAGATCCAGCCTCTCTCCCTAGCCTTCTTCCACGATCTCTTCCCACTCCATTCGTATCTTACGATGTCTCTTTCTGAGTGCCTTCTTCTACTTTTATTGCTTTCCCTTTATGTCCTTGAGGCTGAGCTAAGTTAAATTTTGTGTATTATATGTAGACTCCTAAGGCTGCATTTGTATTTTGTCAATCAACACGCATTGTTGCAGCAAGCATCATCTGCTATGTGCTAGGTACTGTACTAAGAACTGGCAGATACTTATACCTCCTTATTCCTGGAATCTGTGCCTCTGCACATGTGCACCAAGGCAGCACTGCCTTCTTGGCTTGTCGCATAACCCACTGATTCATAGTGAGTTTGCAGTCCGTTAAAACCTTCAAGATCTTTTTCAGTTGTCTAAAAGCATGTCTTTCTTTATTCTGAACTTAACAAACATGCATGTTTGTCACATACATATATGTATGTGTATATGTATATATATGCATGTATAGGTGTAGAGATATATACATGTATGTATGTATATATGTGTGTGTGTGTGCATGTCTTGTTTATGACCAAACGAGAGAAAATGTACCTATGTTCTCTATAGAAGAGGTAAAATGGATAATTTTGATTATATGAAATTAAAGTTTTTACACAAATAAAACCAATACAGCCAAAAGTGGAAGGAAAGCAGGAAACTGGGAAATAAAATTTATAGCATATATGTATATGTGTACATATGTGTATATAAAGCCAATGTGTACCTATATTGCACATACCTATGCATGTATGCACGTGTGTGTGTTGTATGTATGCATACATACACATATATATATAAATATAGAGGGTTGTGCATGAAATTATGAATCAGCTTGTTTTTCTTCCCAAATGTGTAAATAACAACGTGTAATTTTTTTTGCTTAAAATAGATTTTATTGGTATTGTTTTTAATATGGCCTAGATTTCCTCTTGGATCACTTCTCCTCTTCTCTCCACCCAGGGAGCCATCCCATATAACAAATAATTTCTTTAAAAGAGAAAGAGAAAAAAATCAGCCAAATCAATTAATTCATTGAAAAAAATATGAAAATATAGACAGCGCCCCACATCTGTGGATCTCCCACCACTGCAAAGAGGCTAGGAGAGGCGTCTTCTCTTGTCTCTTCCCTGGGGATCGTGTTTGTTCCTTGTAATCCTGCGCTTTTCATTCCTTATTGTGAGGTATAGGTTCTTTCCACTGACATTGTTGTCATCACTGTTTATATTACTGTCTTGAGTCCACTTACTTCATGTGTCCATGTAAGTCTTCCAGGCCTCTCTATATTCACCATAGTTATTGTTTTTTACAGGATGGTAATATTCCATTATGTTCTTACTTGTCTGTTTGTAAACATTCCTTTTTAAATTTTGAGTTCCAAATTGTCTCCCTCCTTCTAGTCCCCCTCTTATCCACTGAGAAGGGGAAGTCAGGTAAAACACATTTCCATATAAGGCATGTTGTTTAAAAAAAGGGCAAGAAAAACAAAATTTAAAAATATGCTTCAGTCTGCACTGTGTTCATCCATTCTTTCTCGGAATGTGCGTAGTATTTTTCATTGTGAGTCCTTTGGAATTGTCTTGGATCATTGTGTTGAGAAGAGTAGCTAAGTCTTTCAAAGATGATAATCATTATAAGATTGTTGTTACTGTGTGCCATGCTTTCCCTTTGCATCAATTCATGTAAGTCTTCCCAGGTTTTTCTGAAACCTCTCACCTTTTTTCTATAGCATAATAGTATTTCATCACAATCGTATACCGTCACCTGTTCAGCCATTCCTCAATTGGTGGACATCCCATCAATTTCCAATTCTTTGCCATCACAAAAAGAACTGCTATAAATATTTTTGTGTATATAAGTACTTTTCCTTTTTTCTTTGGTTTCCTTGGGCTGTAGACCTAATAGAGATATTGCTGGGCTAAAGGGTATGCACAGTTTTATCATCCTTTGGGCATAGTTTCATACTGCTCCCCAGAATGGTTGGACCAGTTTACCACTCTTCCAGCAGTGCATTAGAGTCTATAGTTTTACACATTTCCTCCAGCATTTGTCATTTTCCATTCCTGTCATGTTAGCAATCTAGATAGGTGTGAGGTGGTACCTCAGAGTTGTTTCAATATGAATTTCTCTAATCATTAGTGATTTAGAGCATTTTTTCATAGAACTATTGATAGCTTTGATTTCTTTTTCTGAAAACTACTTGTTCATATTCTTTCACCATTTATCAGTTGAAAATGTTTCTTATGTTTATAAATCTGGATCAGTTCTATGTATATTTGAAGAATGAGACTTTTATCAGATAAACATGCTATAAACTTTATTTCTCAGTTTCCTGTTTTCCTTCTATTTTTGGCTGCATTAGGTTTGTTTGTGTAAAAGCTTTTTAACATCATGTAATCAAAATTATCCATTTTACCTCCTCTGTAAAGAGGATAGGTAGATCTTCTCTTGTTTGGTCATAAACTCTTCCCTTATCCATAGATCTGATTTTCCTGTGCTCCCCTGATTTAATTATGGTACACCTTGTGGTGGTGTGTGGTGTGAGACGTTGGTTTATGTCTAGTTTCTGCCAGACTGTTTTACAGTTTTCCTAGCAGTTTTTGTAAAATCATGAGTTCTGGCCCACAAAGTTGGATCTTTGGGGTTATGAAACAATAGGTTCGTATGGTCATTGTGTACCTCATCTGTTCCACTAATCGGCAACTCTTGTTTCTTATCCAATATGATATTGTTGTGATAATTACTGCTTTATAATGTAGTTTTAAATCTGATACTACTAAGCCACTTTCCTTCACTTTTTTCCCCAGTGATTCCTTTGATATTTTTGTCTATTTGTTCTTCCAGATGAATTTTGTTATTATTTTTTCTAGCTCTACAAAATAATTCTTTGGTAGTTTGAGTGGTATTATACTCAATAAGTAAATTAATTTCAGTGGAATCATCATTTTTATTACATTGGCTCAGCCTACCTATGAGCAATTAATATTTCTGCAATTGTTTAGATTTGTATTTGTGTGAAAAGTGTTTTGTAATTGTGTTCCTGTATTTCCTGTGCATGTCTTGGAAGGTTGACTCCTATTTGTTTTATACTGTCTGCAGTTATCTTAAATGGAATTTCTCTTTTTATCTCTTCCTCCTGGGTTTTATTGGTAAAATGTAAAAATTCTTATGATTCATGTGGGGTTATTTTATGTGCTGAAACTTTGCTGAAGTTGTTCATTGTTTCAATTAATTTTTTAGCTGATTGTCTGAGGTTCTCTAAGTACACCATCTTATCTTCAAAGAGGCATAATTTTGTTTCCTAGTTGCCTCTTCTTGTTCCTTTAATTTCTCTTTCTTGTCTTATTACTATGGCTAGCATTTCTGGTATAATATTGAATAATAATAGTGATAATGGCCATGCTTGCATCACCTCTGATATTACTGGGAAGGCTTCTATTTTATTCCAATTACAGATAACGCTTGCTCTTAGTTTTGCGTAGATACTACTTATCATTTTTTTAAAAGCTCCATTTACTCCTGTGTTTTCTAGTGTTTTTCATTGACATGAATGTTGTATTTTGTCAAAAACTTTTTTTGCATTTACCGATATAATCATATGATTTGTTATTTTTGTTATAGATACGGTCAGTTATACTTATTGTGTTCCTAATATTGAACCAGGCCCACAATCCTGGTATGAATCCCAACTGGTTGTAGTGTGTGATCTTTTTTTTTAATATTAATTTATTTATTTTCAGTTTTCAATATTCACTTCCACAAGATTCCGAGTTCCAAATTTTCACCCATCTCACCCCTCCCCCCACCCCAAGATGGCATGCATTCTGAATATCCCTTCCCCTAGTCTGTCCTCTCTTCTATCTCTCTCCCCTTCTCTTATCCCCTTCCCCTTCTATTTTCCTGTAGGGCAGGACAGACTTCTGTACCCCATTTCCTATATTTCTTATTTCCCAGTAGCATGTGAAAACATTTTTTTAAACATATGTTTTTAAAACTTTAGGCTTCAAATCTTCTCCCTTCCTCCCTCCCCACCCACCCTCATTGAAAAGGCAAGCAACTCAATATAGGTTGTACATGTGCAGTTATGCAAAACACTTCCGTAGTAGACATGTTGTGAAAAACTAACTCTATTTCTCTTAATCCTATCCTGCCCTCCCATTATTCTATTCTTTCTTTTGACCCTGTCCTCCTCAGAAGTATTTGCTTCTGATTACCCCTTTCCCAATCTGCCCTCCTCTCTATCATCCCCCTGCTCTCTTGTCCCCTTCTCCCCCTATTTTCCTGTAGGGTAAGACAGATTTCCATACCCAATTGAATGTGTATGTTATTCCCTCCTTAAGCCAAATCCTATGAGAATAAGATTCATCATTCCCTCTCACCTTCCCCATTTCCCCTCCACTGTAAGAGATTTTCTTTCTTGTTTTTTTTTTTGTGAGATAATTTACCCCATTCTACCTCTCCCTTTCTTCTTCCTGAGTATAATCCTCTCTCATCCCTTAATTTTATTCTCCAGATATGACCCCTTAATCTTCAACTCACCCTGTGCCCTCTATCTATCTATCTATCTACTATAACATACATATAATTTTTTTCCTCCAACTACCCTAATACTGACAAAGGTCTCATGAGTTACAAATATCATCTTTCCATGCAGGAATGTAAACAGTTCAATCTTAATAAGTCTCTTATGATTTCTCTTTCCTGTTTACCTCTTCATGTTCCACTTGAGTCTGTATTTGAAAGTCAAATTTTCTATTCAGCTCTGGTCTTTTCATCAAGAATGCTTGAAAGTCCTCTATTTCACTGAATGACCTTTTTTCCCCTGAAGGATTATACTCAGTTTTGCTGGGTAGGTGATTCTTGGTTGTAATCCTATCTCCTTTGCCCTCCGAATATTATATTCCATGCCCTGCGGTCCTTTAATGTAGAAGCTGCTAAATCTTGTGTTATCCTGATTGTGTTTCCACAGTACTTGAATTGTTTCCTTCTGGCAGCTTGTAATATTTTCTCCTTGACCTGGGAACTCTGGAATTTGGCTACAATATTCCTAGGAGTTTTCCTTTGGGGATCTCTTTCAGGAGGAGATCTGTGGATTCTTTCAATTTCTATTTTGCCCTCTGGTTCTACTATATCAGGGCAGTTTTCCTTGATAATTTCTTGAAAGATGATGTCTAAACTCTTTTTTTGATCATGGCTTTCAGATAGTCCAATAATTTTTAAATTCTCTCTCCTGGATCTATTTTCCAGGTCAGTTGTTTTTCCAATGAGATATTTCACATTTTCTTCTATTTTTTCATTCTTTTGGATTTGTTTTACAGTGTCTTGATTTCTCATAAAGTCACTAGCTTCCAATTGCTCTATTCTAATTTTTAAGGAAGTATTTTCTTCAGTAAGCTTTTGGACTTCCTTTTCCATTTGGCCAATTTTTCTTTTTAGGGCATTCTTCTCCTCATTGGCTTTTTGGACCTCTTTTGCCATTTGGGTTAGGCTATTTTTTAAGGTGTTATTTTCTTCAGTATTTTTTTGGGTCTCCTTTAGCAAGCTGTTGACTTGTTTTTCATGATTTTCTTGCATCACTCTCATTTCTCTTCCCAGTTTTTCCTCTACTTCCTTACTTGCTTCTCAAAATCCCTTTTGAGCTCTTCAAGGCCTGGGACTGATTCATATTTTTCTTGGAGGCTTTGGATGTAGGAGCTTTGACTTTGTTGTCTTCTTCTGGTTGTATATTTTGATCTTCTTTGTCACCAAAGTAAGATAATATAGTCTGACTCTTTGCACTGCTTGCTCATGATCCCAGCCAACTACTTGTGTTTTAAACTCTTTGTTAAGATAAGAGTCTGCTTCCAAGTGTGTACTATCCCAAGCTTCAGGGTTTGTATAGCTGTTTTCAGAGATACTTGTAGGGACCTGTAAATTTTCAGTTCTTGCAAGGTGGTATGATAAGGGGTTGAGGTGTTTACTCCTTTCCTGGCCTATGCTGTGGTCTCTTAGTGACCACAAGCACTCCTTTCTCTCTGGAACTGTGAGGAAGGTTTCCTGTCCACAGCCACTACAAGCTCCACCACGCCAGCGCTCCTCCTCACCCCAGGACCGCAGCCCAGAACTGTGACCCAGATCCAAGCACAGGCAAAGCAAGAGATTCCTGCCTCAGCACTGGCAAAGAGATCCCTGCAATCTGCCTCTGATCAGCCACTGGATTCCCCCTCAGTCTGTGAGCCAGAAGCTCGGGAAGCAGCTGCCCCCCAGGACCGCCCTCTTGGGGAATGGAGCTGAGACCCCGCCTTCCTCTCTCAGCACCGCAGAAACAGACTTTTCCCACTGACCTTCGAAGTTGTCTTTGCCATGGGTGGATAGAGGAGTCTGGAAACCTCCACAGCTGCCCGAGATGCAGTCCTCTGAGGCCTGCTCCAGGTTTGCTGTGGCCTGCGTGCCCACACCACGCTGTGCTCCGCTCCCAGCCCAGCATGATACACCTTTCTGATCAGTCATCCAGGTTGTCTTGGGCTGGACATTTGTTTCATTCTGTCTTTCTGTGGGTTCTGCTGCCTTGGAATTTGTTTAGAGCCATTTTTATGGGTATTTGGAGGGGTTTGGGGGAGAGCTCAAGCAAGTCGCTGCTTTCACTCCCCTGTCTTTGGCTCCACCTCTTAGTGTGTGATCTTTGTAATACATTGCTATACTGTCCTTGCTGGTATTTTATTTAAGATTTTTGCATCAATATTCATTAGGGAAATTGGCCTATAGTTTTCTTTCTCTGCTTTTGCTCTCCCTGGTTTAGGCATCAAAACCATATTTGTGTAATCAGAGGAATTCAGTAGGACTCCTTCTTTACCTATTTTTCAGATAGTTTATGTAGTATTAGAATTAATTGTTCCTTGAGTGTTTGGTTGAATTCACTTGTTACTCCATCTGGTCCTGGAAATTTTTTCTTAGGGAGCTCATTTATGACTTATTCAATTTCTTTTTGTAACCTAAAGTTCTTTAAGTATTCTATTTTTTGTTCTGTTAATCTGGGAAATTTACATTTTTGTAAATATTCATTAATTTTGCTTAGCTTGTCAGTTTTGTTGGCATGTAATTGGACAAAAAAACTCCCAGTAATTGCTGTTATTTCATCTTTGTTGGTGATGCATTCACTTGTTTCATTTTTGATACTGGTAATTTGGTTTTCTTTTTAATCAAATTAACCAATAATTTATCTATTTCATTGGGGTTTTTTTGTTAAAGAATACAGCTCACTAGTTTCATTTATTAGTTCAATGGTGATTTTTTTTTTACTTTGAATTTTGTTCATCTCTCCTTTGATTTTCAAAATTCTGTTTTGGTGTTTAATTTGTTATCGTTGTCCAGTTTTCAGTCATGTTCTTGAGATTTTTGAACTTGTGTTCCTCCGCATGAACTTTGTTAATAGTTTTTTTAGCTCTATAAAGTAAACTTTTGGTAGTTTAATTGGTATAGCAGTGAGTAAGTGAATTAATTTAAGTAGTATTGTCATCTTTATTATGTTGGTTCATTTGCTGTTGTTGTTCAGTCATTTTCAACCATGTCCTACGCTTCATGACCACATTTTGTGGTTTTCTTGGCCAAGATACTGGAGTGATTTGGCATTTCCATGTCCAGCTCATTTTACAGATGAAGAAACCAAGATAAACAAGGTTAAGTGACTTGCCCAAGGTCACACAGCTAATAAATGTCCAAGGCTAGAATTTGAACTCAAAAAGATAAGTCTTCCTGACTCCAGGCTCAGGATTCTGTCCACTGCACCACCTAGCTGCCCTAGTTCAGCCTACCCATGAGCAATTAAGATTTCTTCAATTATTTATGTTGGCCTTTATCTCTATGAAGAATGTCTAGGTGGTTCAGTAGACAGATTGCCAACCCTGTCAGGAGTCAGGAGGAACTGAATTCAAATCTGGCCTCAGATACTTAGTAGCTCTGTGACCCTGGGCAAGTCTTAACCCTGTTTGCCTCAGTTTCCTAATCTGTAAATTTAGCTGGAGAAGAAAATGGCAAACCATTCCATTCTCTTTGCCAAGAAAATCCCAAATGACATCATGAAGAGTCGGACACAACTGACCACCCCAAAATTATAGTCATTATTATTTCCATACATATGAGTCCTCTACCTCTTTCTTTGATCTCTGAAGAATAAGCTTAGTAGTGATACTGATAGGTCAAAGTATAGGTATATTTTGATGCCTTTTTAGGGTTAGTTCCACATTGTCTCCCAGAATGGCTGGACCATTTCACAGTTCCACAGGTAAGTGGAGCCTACGGTATAAATGTGCCTGTTTTTCCTCAGCCTCTCCAACAAAGTCATTTTCATTCTGTCACCTTAGTCAGTCTGGTGGATGGCAGGGAGGCCTCAGCGTCTACAGCAGAACTGCACAGGTGCCCAGACGATCCTCCTGAGGCATGCAGGGCCCCTCCCTTGCCAAGACGTTTTCAGTGGCTTCGCAGTGCCTCCCGGCTACCACACGAACGCATGGGTCCGGCATCTCGTGCCTCTGCCATCTTTCAAGCACGCTCCTCGGCTTATATCATACCATTTGCCCTGGTGTAGCCCAGACACCCGCCAGACGGGCTCCTGGCTGTTCCCAACACTGGGTATTCCACCTCCGTGCACCCCTATTTCCCTTCCTTGTGATGCCCTCGCCCTTCACATGCCTCGGAAGTTTTGAATCTTCCTTGAAGGTTCAGCTATGTTGCTGTCTCCTCCATGAAGGCTTCCCAGTTCCCCCAGTTGTCATGGTTTTCTCCTATGCTAAGTTATTTGACTTCTTGTGTACTGTGGTCTCATACCCTCCTCCTCCTCTGCCCCAGAGGAATGTAAGCCCCCTGAGGACAAGAAATGCTTTTGTGTGTGGCCTGATAAATGGTTACTGAATCAGTGATTTTGGTTTGGCCCCCAATCTCCAGTTCTGCAGGAAAGTGAAGGGAGAATTCTGAGAGAAGTCATCCAGCCCGAGTCCTGATCCAGAGCCAGGAGAGAGCAGATCTTGGAGCTGCCTGCGGGGGGAGTGGTGCCTGATTCTCTCGCCCCTGGGGAAAGTGAGAGCATTGAGAAGATGTCGGGGATGAAGACTCCCAAGGAGAAAGGTGAGAATGCTCAGTCTCACCTCCATCTCCACGGGGCTGGAGAGAGGAGAACAGAGAAACCTCAGGAGGAACGAGGCCATCTGGTGAGAGGGAGTCTCATTCCCTCACCAGCATGGTCATGCCCTTTGAGCAGGCCAGCCTTCTCCCCAAAAAGTGGTACCAGAATGGAGCGTCAGGAGCAGGACGATGACTTCCCTTCTGGGCCCCACGCAGCCTTCCTGTGAGGATCTCTTCAGCTACCGTCCCTCTCTGTTGGCTCTTATCGACCTAGCCACCAAGTAAAACACTAGAGTCCTGGACCTGGAGTCTGGGAGGCCTGAGTTCAAATCCATCCTCAGATACTTAGTAGTTGTGTGATACTGGGCAAGTCCCTTAACCTGCCTTAGTTTCCCCAGGTGTAAAGTGGGGATAATAATAGTACCTACTTCCCAGTGTTATTGTGAGGCTAAGATGAGATAATATTTGTAAAGTGCTTTGCAAACCTTAAAGTATTAAATCAATATTATTAATGGCAATTATAATATTATATATAATAATTGAATAACTTATTAAAACCATCAGGTTGCCTTCACATACAGTATTTAATGAAGGACTTGGGTGATCATTCTTATTAAATTGCATCTTAGGATAGTCAGTCGGTTAAGGTGGTGGGAAACAAGAAGGCATAGTGGCGTGTTTGCTGGATTTCAAATCAGAAGAGACCTGGGTTCAAATCCTGCTTCGGACACCTAATTAGCTGCATGACCTTGGGCACGTCACTTGGTACCTCTAATACCAGTTTCCATCCAAAAACATAATCCTTGGGGTACCTACCAAATAGAGTTGTTAAAATCAAATGAGATAACGTGTGAGAAGTGTTTTTACACACCGATAAGTAGTAATAAATGCTAGCTGTTTTTCTCTTTTAGGTCTTGAGTCTTAAAAGTTCAGCATAATAATTTAGCCATTTATGTGTCCATCTTTGCCTGTAATACAAATGTAGACAGTGAGGAGGTACAATGCACAGAATGCACAGTCAGCCTTCTAGAGTTCTGATTGATCATTGCATTGATCAGTGTTCTGAAGTCTTTCAGAGTTGCTTGTCTTTATCACATTGTTGTGATGGTATAATCATTCTGCTTACCGCCCTCTGTATCAGTTCATACAAGTCTTCCTGAGTTTCTCTGAAACCACTCCCTTCATTGTCTCTTAGAGCACAATACTGTTCCATGATATTTATATAACTCGTTCAGCCATTCCCAAATTGATGGGCACCCCCTCCATTCTTACTTCCTTGCCATTACAAAAGAGCTGCTTTGAATATTTTTTGTATATATGGGTCCTTTCCCCCTGTCCTTGATCTCTTTGGAGTACAGAAGGAAACTTGTTAATGAGTCACACCTGGTTGAGGAGAGGAGAGGAGGTGTAGAATATGTCTGTAACTACATTTTGTCATGTTAGAGACCTGATATCAGCTTATGGTAGCAGCATGGCCTTTTCTGGGCTTTCTGAAGGATCTCATTGTGGAATCATGAGCTCTATTCCTACTGCCCGAGTCTCCCTTCAATTCTTTAGGGTCTGCTTTTACTCCATTCACCTATTCCCCGTAATCAAGAGAGTCCCCAGGGAATCTTTCATGAAGATGACAGCGCCTGTCCCAGAACTACCCCATTGCCTCTACACTGTGGATATACATTAGGGGATGGAAGGTCTCCCTAGCTCACTCAGTGAGTGTGAATGTTGAGTGCCTTTGATGGTCATTCTATATATCCCATCCCAGCTCAAGTTTTTTCCCAACTCTGCTACATATGAAAACATGCTGTCTATTTCCGGGAGGAGAGGAAGAAGCATAGGATCATTACCAGTAATGATCAGGTGTGTTCTTGGAAACCTTTCCCTCCAAAAGCTTTCTGCTATCTTGTCCTGAAATCATCTAAGGGGTACAACTGGCTTCTCACTTGTTGAGAATGGCTTACAGCAGTTATCAAAACTATCTGGTACTGGCTAAGAAACAGAATGGTGGATCAGAATTAGGTGTACATAATCGTAAATGATGATAGTGACCTCGTGTTTGATAAACATAAAGATCTAACCTTTTGGGATAAGAACTCACTATTTGGTAATAATTACTGGGAAAACTGGAAAGCCATCTGGCACAAATTAGATATCGACCAGTATCTCACACCATTTACTAAGTAAGATACAGTCAAAATGGGTATATGATGTAGACATAAAGGGAAATTTCTTAGGTAAATTAGAGAAGCATGAAACATATTACCTATCAGATTAATCGATAGGAAAATAATTTATGAATAAAGAAGAGATAAAGAGCATTGAGGAATATAAAATGGATAATTTTGTTATATTAAAGGTTTTTGTATAAATAAAACCAATGTAGCCAAGATTAAAAGGAAAACAGAAAATTAGGTGAAAAATTTTTATGACCAGTTTCTTAGTTAAAGCCTCGTATCTCAAATATATGGAGAACTGAGTCAGATTTAGAAGAATATGAGTCATTCCTTAGCTATCATCGCATTACAATGATCCAAGACAATCCTAAAGGACTCATGATGAAAAATGCTATCCCTCTCCAGAGAAAGAACTGATGGAGTTGACAGATTGAAGCATACTATTTTTCACTTTCTTTCTTTTTTCTTTTCTTTGTGTGTGTGTGTGTGTGTGTGTGTGTGTGTGTGTGTGTCTCTCTCTCTCTCTCTCTCTCTCTTTTTCTTTCTTGTTTTTTTCCACAAATGACTAATATGGAAATGTTCTACATGATTACACATGTATAACCTATATTAGATTACTTACTGTCTTGGGTAGGGAGGGATAGAATTTGGAGCTCAGAACTTAACAACAAATGTTTAAGACTGTTTTACATGTAACTGGGGAAAATAAGATATTAAAAAAAAAGAATATGAGTCATTCCCCAATAGATAATAGTCAAAAGATATGGACAGATAATCTTTAGAAGAAGAAATCAAAGCTATATATAGTCATATGAAAAAATGCTCTATATCATTATTGATTGGGGAGAGATACAAATTTAAATAGCATGGAAATATCATCTTACACCTGTCAAATTGGCTGAAATGATAGAAGGGGAAAATGAAAATGTTGGAGGGGATGTGGAAAAGTTGGGACACTAATACTCTGTTGGTGAAATTGTGAACTGATCCAACCATTTTAGAGAGCAATTTGGAATTATGCCCAAAGAGTTATAAAACAATGTATACCCTTTGATCCAGCAATACCATTATTACATCTGTTTCCCAAGATGATTAGGGAAAAAGGAAAAGAATCTATGGGTTCTAAAATACTTACAGCAGTTCTTTTTGTGGTGGCAAAAATTGGAAATTGTGGGGAAGCCCATCATTTGGGAAATGACTGAAAAACTTGTGATTGTGATGTGTGATTGTGATGGAATACTACTGTACTGTAAGAAAATGATGAGCAAATTGATTTTTAGAAAGACTTATATGAAATAATGCAGAATAAAATGAGCGGAACGAAGAGAACATTGTATGCAGCAAAAGTGATATTGTTCAGAGAGTAACTATGAATGACTAAGCTGTTCTGAGTAATATGAACATTCACATCAACTATGAAGGTCTTAAGGAAAATGCTATGCACCTCCAGAGAAGGCACTGATCTAAAGGAGTATGTATTGTATGGTTACCCATATATATCTATGTGAAATGTTAGCCTTCTCTAATGAAGGGTTGGGATGGAGGGAGACAACTCAGAACTCACAATGTAACGAATAAATAAATTAGACTGTACGGGGAAGAGAAGGTGCCCACCTGCACCGGTAGAAGGAGTTCCTCACACTGGAACTCCCCATGCCAATGAAATCTCAGGTCCAGTCCTTATCCCTTAAGATTCTCTAGGGGAATCACCTCCAGTCAGTGTGTAAGGATCTGTGACCTGGTGAGTCCACAACTCACAAGAAAGGATTGTTCCCTCGTGATTCCTTTTCCTATTCCCAGCTCCACCTTCTCAAGACCAGAACATGAAAGAGGATCATAAGAGAAGAGGTCACAAGAGAAGAGCAGGTGCTGCAGTCCACTTGGCCAGAATTCAGGTGAGAGGGGCTCATTTTCCCTCCTGGTGTTCCAAGGCATCATTCAGGGAATGGGCTTCTCGCTTCCCTTTGTCTCTACTCCAGGCCAGTTCCATCCAGAGCCCTACACTACCACTGTTCTCATCCAGGAGACGTGGCTTGTTCTGGTAAATGGTGCCAAATTCCCAGAGTTTCTCGGTCACCGAAGCTGCACAGTGCATTAAAAGGCTTCTAGACCACTCATTTTGTGTTGATTTTATCTCTATCTCATATTTACTTATCAGGGAACATGGTCTGTTCCCATGTCCCTCTCAACTCCCCCTTCCAGGAGAATGTAAGTGCCTGAAGACAAGCGCTGTCTCACTTTTGTACCTGTATCTTCAGTGCCTGTCATGTTGCAGGGGCTTCGTACATGTTTGATGGATGGGTTGTTGGTGAGGCTCAGAACCAGGAGAGCAGTTGCCTTCGTCACTGGTCCCTTCCCCTTTCGAGGGATGGAATTATGATGAAAGCAAGTGAAGAGGCTGTCAGCTTCTCCACTCTTTCTGGCAGGGATCTGAGCGGCTCACGTGCCTTCTTTTGGAGAAAGCCCCCGGGTTCTTCCCACTGGCCACACATTCTTTCTCCTTCCCACCTCCCTACTTGTGTAAGGATTCCCCTCTGCCTCCTCAGCATCCTTCTCTTCTTTGTGTGCACGTTGAAGCCCACTCCCATCTTGCAAAAGAGGACGTCGTTCTCTGGTAATCCAGACTGTGAAGAGGCACTGGGGCACCTGACTCTTTCTTCTAGGACACAGACCAGCCTGAGAAGAGCAGTGAGTCATTCAGCTGTGGCAGCTTGGACACAAGCAGTGCCCACCCCATGCCAGTCACTGTCACGTTCTCCCTGCACTCCGTGCTTGCTGGCGTTAGATTTTCTGTCCTTTTCTCCTCCGTGCTAGTAGTGCCCATAGAGAATGGCAGGGGAAGATTCCGTGTCGGGACTTGCCCCTCCAGAATTGTTACTGCCTTTCTCAGCTCCTTTAGGGCCTTATCTACTTTGAAGTAACTCTGCCCAAAACAAGATTGGCATAGTTCTAACCAGTTTGCCACAGATCATTACATTTTCAGCATGAGCATCCACACCTTGGAAATCCCTAGTCACTACAAACTAGGGCATGATTTTGTTTGATTGATTGTCCAGACTTCAGAAAAGTGTTAATGACACAGATTAAATTTAAAAGCCCATGCATAGTTTGTTTTTTTCCCTTTGGAGAGACATTTACTGCCATACTCCAGTTTTGTTCTATGAACATTGCTTGAGCTCAGGAATGTAGTAGAAGGGAGTAAAGTCATCACCAGACTGAAGGCCTGTTTTCTTTATGCTAATAATGATGATGATGACGATGATAAGGATATCTGAAATGTATGTAACACCCATAAGGTTTACAAAAAGAATTCACATCCATTATCTCATTTGAGCCTTACAACACCCCTGGCAAGAGTAGTGAGTGTTATTTTAATTAAAGCTAATAGACAATATTTGTATTTGAGTATAGCGGTTAGTCTTGCTTTATTATAAGCTATATCTTGTCTCAGTTAATTATACACGTTGGAGGTTTCAGTAGAGTACTTGTTTTCCTTGGGTATATTTTGGGAGGTTGAGCTTACTCAGCAAAATAAAAGCTCTTGACACGCAGGCCTACAGTGGGCCCCCTTGTCCATATGTTCTCAATGGCTATTTGACATCAATAACTCAGAAGCCCTCCTTGGTGGGATGACTGTTCTCGCTCCCTCCTCCCAACTTTGTGTCCTCTGTGGCTCCTGTGAATGAATGGTTCCCAAGTGATCAGGAATGTGCCTGATGTTTCAGGGATTGGTGACCTTCGAAGATGTGTCTGTGGACTTCTCCCGGTCTGAGTGGAAACAGCTGAAACCTGCCCAGAGGGACCTGTACAAGGATGTGATGCTGGAGAACTATAAGAACCTGGTCTCCCTGGGTGAGGAGCACTGCTTCTTGGGACTGAGAATCTGTCTGCCCTTTGGGATGGATGTCTTTGTATCCTTGTTTCTTAAGAGCTGGGTCTGGAGGCTGAGGGAGGGGGGAAGGTCTGAGTCTTGGCTTGATGTGCAGGGTGAGTCAAGAATCCATATAATAATGGAGGGAGATGCCTATATACTTCAGAGACCAAACCCAAGATGTTTCTGATCTCTGTTCATAGTAGAAACATCTCTGCCTTGCAAACTGGGAACCAGCATCTTTGCTGTGCTGGAGCTATACCTTCAGCTCAAAATATTTCCCCTAAAGTTTCAGGGCAGCTTCCTGAAAACATGAAAAGCACCCTCCATCCCCACCAAGAAGGAGTGAGTTAAAATGAACTGCTTTTTCTTCAGCCCCAGTCAACTGTGTGGCCCACCCCCTTCCCCCAGACCATACTTCCTGGGAATATGGTCTGGAGTATTCTCCAGGCTGGGTCTTTTATGTCCCCCTTTAAGCTTCCTAGTGTGCCCTCATGTTACTGTAGAAAAGAAGGCAAGCTTTGAATGCTGAAATGACTCTCTTTCTCCATAACCTTTCCATTTATTTCCCTATAAACAGGGCTTCAGTCTTTTAAACCAGAAGTGATCTCCCGGCTGGAGCAAGGAGAGGTACCATGGATTCTGGCTGACCATGTCCCAAAAGGTGGGTGAGAGAGTGAGCCAAGACTGGGCAAACACTGTGCACACCCTTTGACTCAGCAGTCCAACTCCAAGTCTATACCCAAAGAGATCAAAGAAAAAGGAAAAGGACCTATATGTACAAAATATTCATAGCAGCTCTTTAATGGTGGCAAAGACTTGGAAATTGAGGGGATGCTCATCAGTCAGGGAATGGGAGAACAAGTTGTGGTATATGAGTGTGATGGGATACTATTGTGCTATAAGGAATGCCAAGGGGGATGGTTTCAGAAAAACCTGGGAAGATTTACATGAACCGATGCAAAGAGAAGTGAGTCAATGTGGGAGAACATCGTACATAGTAACAGCAAGATTGGAACGATGATCAAGTTTGAAAGACTTGGCTACTTTGATCAATACAATGATTCTCAACAATTCTAAAGGACTTAACAATGAAAAATGCTATCCACCTCCAGAGAGAGAACTGATTAACTCTGAGTGCAAACAAGTATAATTTTCTCACTTTTTAATTTTTCTTGCTTTTTTGTGACATAGCTCACATGGAAATATGTTTTGCATAATTTCACACATACAGTCTATTGCTTGCCTTCTCAATGGGTGGGGGAGGGGCTTCAGGGAGGAAGAGAATTTGGGACTCAAAATTTTTTTTAAAAGGATATTGAAAATAAATAAATAATAAATTAGGGGGAAGAAAAGTCTTGAGCAAACACAAATTCTTGCAAGCAGCAGCCCAACCAGGTGTTAGCACCTGGAGAAAACCCGCCAAGTAGCGCTCCTCAAAGATGCAAGGGCTCTGGAGAAAGCTGAAGGCGGCCTAGCATGAGGGCCTTCATAGAGCCTCCAACAAATCACTTCCCTGGTGTCTCCTACCTCCTGTTTAACTCCAGGCCCCAAGAAAGGGGCGTTCATTCTTTTTCTCATACTTGTCGCTCTAACTGTACTCTGCACATTCTTTCCTTCCTGTTCCATAGAGGCAGCTAGGTGATGAAGTGGATAGAGCTCTGGGCCTAGAGTCAGGAAGACCTGAGTTCAAATCTACTCTCAGACACTCACTAGCTCTGTGACCCTAAACAAGCCACATAATCTATGTTGCCTCAGTCTCCTCAACTGTATAATGGGGATAGTAATAGCACCTACCTCCCAGGGTTGTTGTGAGGATCAAATGAGATAGTATTTATAAAAAACACTTAGCACAGTTTCTGCCACATGGTAGGCACTATATAATTACTTGTTTCCTTCACTTTCCTTGTCTTTTACCTTTTTTTGTTGTTGTTCAGGCATTTCAGTTATGTCCAACTCTTTGTGACCCTGTTTGGGGTTTTCTTGGCAAAGATACTGGAATGGTTTGCCATTTCCTTCTCTAGCTTATTTTACATATGAGGAAACTGAAGAAAACAGGGTTAAGTGACTTGCCCCAGGTCACACAGCTGGGAATTGTCTGAGGCTAGATTCAAACTCAGGTCTTCCTGATTCCTGGCCCAGAATTCTATCCACTGTGCCACCTAGGTGCCCTTTTTCCTTTCTTTATCCTCAATTATCATCTCAGAATTTGCGTTGGAAAGGATCCGTGGGGTCTTCAAGTCTCCTAAGTCATCCAGCATCAGCTCAGAGACCCCCCAGGGAAAGGAAACCCACTCTCTTCCCAGATGGCTCATTCTACTTTACACTGGGCAAGGTACTACAGATTTATGTATGGGCTCTCACTGCTGCCAGGCAATCCTTCTACGTCTCCTTTATCAGTTCGCTGTCCCACTATCTATGGCAGATCTTCCAAACCTTTTCATCCTTCCTCAAATCTCTCATGGCTCCCCTTTCTACCATCCTCAGCTGAGACCCTTTCCTCATATTTTCCAGAAAAAAACAAAGTTGTTCTCTGCGAACTCCCTCTCCTCCCGTCATCCTCTTCTTCTACCACTCAAATGTCGTTTGCCCCCTCTCCTACTTCAACCCTGTCTCATATGATGAAGTGGCCTTACTCCTTACCAAGGCTAATCTACTCATCCAAGTCATCCCATTCCATCCCATCTCCTCCAATAGATTGCCCCCTTCTTCTGTCATCCCTACTTTTTCACTTATTTTTAATTTCTCCCTCTCTACTGGCTCATTCTCTACCGTCTACAGCCAAATCCTTTTAATTTATGCATCATTTTCCTTGATGAAAGAGACAGACTCTATAATGTACTATAAAGCATTTCCCTTTCTCCCACCTTAGCAAACAGTACATATTCATACTTTTTTGGATTTCTTTTCAGATTCCCTTCATCACAAGACTATCTGTGGGACCAAGAAGTCAACTGTAAAGCAGGATCTCTGTGTAAGAGAATCTTCTAAGAAAAGATGCACAAAAGATAATTCACAAGATTCAAGGCTTAGAAAAGTTTCAGGAGGCAATAGCAAGTCAGAGATACGGAAGGAAAAGGTGGAAAAACAATCCAAGAAGGAAGCACTCAATCACAGCAAAACTTCCAATGAGCCAAGGGCCCAGAACTGCAATACATTTGAGAGAAAATGTAGCCCAGTGTCACTACCTACTTCACAACAGTCAGTTCCAGTGGAAAGAAGTGTCCATAAATGTGATATATCTAGAGAGAGCTTCTTCAGACAGCTTTCAGAACTAATTAAACATAGTAAAATCTCCTTTGGGAAGAATATTTGTAAGTATAATAAAGATAAGCAGACTTTCAGTAACCACGCAGATTCTACTCAAAACCATGAAAGATGTAATGGAGAAAAACTTGGCAAAGATAATAAATGTGGGAAGGATGACGTGCCCAAGAAACCCCATACTGAACATCAGAGAAGCCATACTAAAGACAAACGCAATAGATGTAACGAATGTGGGAAAACCTTCACACGAAGCACAGGACTTTCTGAACATAAGAAAATTCATAATGGAGAGAAACCCTTCGAGTGTGATGAATGTGGGAGAGCCTTCACAGCACAGGGAAGACTTAATGAACATCAGAAAGTTCATACAGGAGCGAAGCCTTATAAATGTCATGAATGTGGGAAAGCCTTCACTGGAAGAGGGCGGCTTAATGAACACCAGAAAGTTCATACAGGAGACAAGCCCTATGAATGTAATGAATGTGGAAAGGCCTTCATACAGAAGGGTACACTTCTTGAACATCAGAATGTTCATACTGGAGAGAAACCCTATGAATGTAAACAGTGTGGGAAAGCCTTCAGACAGAGGGGACAACTTCGTGAACATCAAAAAATTCATACTGGAGAGAAACCTTATAAATGCCATGAATGTGGGAAAGCTTTCTCAGGAAAGGGACGACTTACTGATCATAAGAAAATTCATTCAGCAGATAAACCCCACAAATGTAATGAATGTGGGAAAGGTTTCATCCAAAAGTCGCACCTTACTGACCATCAAAAAGTTCATACGGGAGAGAAACCCTATAAATGTAATCAATGTGGGAAAGCTTTTGTAAAGAAGGCGCTACTTAACGGACATCAGAAAATTCATACTGGGGTGAAACCCTATGAATGTGATCATTGTGGGAAAGCCTTCACACTGAAAGGACGACTTAATGAGCATCTGAAAATTCATACTGGAGAGAGACCCTATGAATGTAATCAGTGTGGGAAAGGTTTCATTGTGAAGGCACGGCTTACTGAGCATCTGAAGATTCATACTGGTGAGAAACCTCATAAATGTGCTGAATGTGGGAAATCCTTCACACAAAGTGGACAACTTACTGAACATCTGAGAATTCATTCTGGTTTAAAACCTTTCAAATGTAGTCACTGTGGGAAAGCTTTCACACATAAGGGACGACTTGGTGAACATCAGAAAATTCATACTGGAGAGAAACCCTATGAATGTAGTCAGTGTGGCAAAGCCTTCACACAAAGTGGACAGCTTAATGAACATATGAAAATTCATACTGGAGAGAAACCCTATGAATGCAAGCAGTGTGGGAAAGCCTTTACACGGAAGGAAAGACTTAGTGAACATCAGAGAATTCATACTGGAGTGATACCCTATGAATGTAGTGAATGTGGGAAAGCGTTTACGCGGAAGGAAAGACTTAGTGAACATCAGAGAATTCATACTGGAGCAAAACCCTTTGAATGCAGTGAATGTGGAAAAACTTTTAGTCGTAGGACATCCTTTTTTTATCATCAGAAGACTCATACTACATAAAAACCTTATGAATGTAATGAATGTGGGAAAATCTTTGGTCATAGAATATCCCATGTCATCAGAGAAATCTTACTATAAAAAACTCTGTGAGTGTAATGAATGTGGGAAAGCCTACAGCAACAGCTCAAATCTTAAAAAAAAAAGAAAAGTATAAGGTAGTTTATATCAGAGAGAATCTCTGTGAATGAGAGTATATGAAATATAATTTTATTATCAAGTTGTTCACACTGGAGAGAAACCATATGAATGTAGTGCATGTGATAAAGCTTTCAGCAACAACTCAGACCTTAAGAGCCATTAAAAAACCTATAGAGAAGGGAAGTCCATAAATACAGTGAGTCAGAGTCCTCAGCAACAACTTGAGTGCTATAAACCATCTGTGAACTCATACATTCTTACAAAAAATGAGTGTAATGAGTATGTGAAACCCTTCAAACAGATAAGATGGCTTATTAAATATCAGAAAATTCATGCTGGAGAAAAACTCTATATCTGTAATGATTTCTCAATCCTGTGCTAACCTTGCATCCCTGGTGTAAATCCAACTAGAAACTAATGAGTAGTTTTGGGATATATAGCTGTAATCTCTGTTAAATGTTATTTAAACATTTTGCATCAATACATTAATCTTTAGGTTTTTTTCTCTGCTTTATCCCTTCTTGGTTTAGGTATCAGGACCATTTTTGTCTCATAAAATGAGATTGGTAGAGTGCCTTCTTTATTATTGAGAAAAGTTTTTAAAATGCTCCTTTAAAATGTTTTTAAGAATTCACTTGCTATCCATTTGGACCAGAAGTTTTTGTTTGGTAGCTCAATTACGGCTCATTCAACTTCAGTATGTAAGACTGAGTTAAATGGCACCTCTGTTTTTTGTTTTGGTAATATTGTTAATTAATATTTTTGTAAATGACCCATTTTTAAAAAATTTTCAGTCTTTCCAGCATCTTCATTGTGTATAATAGTTTCTTATAATACTTTGTCTGTTCGTTATAAATCACATTGGTTATTTTCATTTTGCCCATTTGATCTCTCTCTGTCTCTCTCTCTCTCTCTCTCTGTCTCTCTGTCTGTCTGTCTCTCTCTGTCTCTCTCTCTCTCTCCCCCCCCCACCTCTCTTTCAATTTAGCTGATGGCTTAACCACTAATATTTGTCCTGACCTGTGATTTCATTAGTGTGGGAAATTCCTGATATGAAAATTCTTTCCACCAGTGCACATCAGCAAATGTTCTGTAGCTTATGCTTTTAGAGTGGCTTCGGGTTTTGAAGAGGTTAAGTGACTTGTCCATGGTCATATAACTAATATGTGTCAGAGGCAAGACTTGAACCCAGGTCTTCCTGACTTAAAGTCTAGCCTTTTGTTTTAACTACATGCCTGGTTTTACTATTCTTCTTTCTATGGGAAACATCTCTAATTACTTCACTGGATTCTTAAATTGCATAAAATTGAGGCAATTCACCATCCTGGTTACCTTCCTCTAGACACTCTGTCATTTCTTCCTCTTTGCCCAATTGTTTGCTTTTTAGCATTGCTGGACACCTCATACTATTCTTTTTTAACTTATTATTTCATCATACATAGATGTTGCTTTTTATAGTTTCTGGTTTAAAAATTGTGTCTAGGCACTTTTCTTACTCTCTCCCTTTCTCACCAAACTCCTTGGTATCAAATAAGGATTTCCCCCAAAATATGTTCTTTATGACCCAGGTATTAGTCCTTACTCGATGCAGTCCATCCATCATTCCTGCATCTTGAATCTTGAACAATACCAAAAGTCGGATTCCATTGCCTGCTGCCATGTTAGCCAGCTAATCATTGGCCATATAATCCTTTCTCTATCATTGCAGTCTTCATTTGGAAGTAGTGAAGCAAACCTTCTCCCTGTAATACATTTCAACAAATAATTAAATTCACCATATATTTAGTAAGTATGTACAAGGTTCAAGGCATTATAATAGAGGCTAGAGATACAAAGATAAATATATGGCTGGTTCTGCATTCAAAGAGGCTACACTCCAATGGGGAAAGGTTGGGTATACCAGTAACTATGATATAAGGGCAAACCGCATGTACAAATGTACCAAATACTAAGAGGGCTTGGAAGAGAGAGATCACTTTCATCTGGATGCGAAGGGATAATCAGAGAAGGCTTTTTCTAGGGGCAGCTAGGTAGGGTAGGGCAGTGGATACAGTGCTGAGCCTGAAGTCAGGAAGACCGAAATTCAAATCTTGTCTGAGACACTATCTGTGTGACCATGGACAAGTCGTTCAACTTGTCTGTCTCAGTTTCCTCAACTGTAAAATGGGGATCATAATAGTACCTGCCTCACAGGGGTGTTGTGAGGATCAAATGAGATTATATTTGTAAAGTGTTTTGCAAACATTATAATACCATATAAATGCTGGCTATTGTTACGCTTCATAGAGAAGGTGGTGTCTGCATTGAACCTTGAAGGAAAGTTGTACTTAAACAGGTGGACGTAGTAGGGGACAAGGAACAAGTTCATTTCGTGGATGTGAATTGTGGGGGTCAAGTCCTGGAGATGCAAAAATACAAAACAAGAATGGGGCCTGAAACTCAATTCCATTTGGTGGAGATAATGGGACACAAAAAGGGGGACAGAATAAAATAGGACTGGACAAGCAAGTGGGAAGCTGATTGTAAGTGACCTTGAATGCCAGAATCAATGAGTCAGCAAATAGTGAGCAATCACTGAATGCTTTTGAGTAAATGGTCGATCAGCTCTGTTCATTATCTGTGCAGCAAGGCTGAAGATTATTTGGAGAAGAGATAGCCAAGATAGTGTCGTAGTACTCTAATAAAGTAATCAAGTGCCATGATGAGGTCACTTGGGCCGAATTCATAGCAGTTGTGTTATAGGATATGATTAATGAGGTGGGTGTTGACATAATTACAACTGGCTTGTGTTTTTAAATTTTCTTATAAATTTAAATGTTAGCAAAATATTTCAATAGCTTTAAAAAAAGACAATTGTCTATGAAACCATGAGTTCCTACTACATATCCTTTGCTTACCATTGGCTTTGTAGAATTTCTGATAATGATTGAAGAAAAAAAAATGAAAAAAAACCCCAAGAAATTAGGAAAGCATTCAGATGTTTGGTAAGGAAAAGAAGGTCTAACTGGTACATGTAGCAAAATTTTATCTTGTGATACCAAATCTTAGAAAGAACTTAACAGTGTGACGAAGGGATCCAAGAAACAAATGTGGACAATGTTGGTCAAGTAAACCATGAAGAATTTCTACAAACCATGGTTGCAGAATGAAGACATTGTATGGAATTGTTTATTTGTCTTTTCTCTGTGAGTTATCTGTAAAAGGTCACCCCTCCACCTAAATTCAAAATTATGTGTGTATGTAGTGGTTAGGACCTCGTTCCTCTTGTGGTCTCATGTTACTGTCATTGTCTCGGTATCTTATTCTGGAAAACTGATCAAGTAAATGTTGCCTTTGGCTTTCTCTGCCTCTGTCAAAGCTCTTCTGTACATCCAAACTTAGATGAAGCCAGTCAAATGAGGGAACATCTGAGTTCAGCTTCAGACATCTTCCTGATGAGTGACTCTGGGCCCCGGCATTTCACTTTTCATTGACACTCTACTCTGCATCTGCTGCTCTGCCTGGTTTGGTTTTGTTTTTTTTTTTCCATTCTATGAAACAAGATGCTCCTCCCAGGGTAAGCTGTAATCACCTCTGATCTTATTCTGGTGCTGCTAACTCAAGCCTTGACTGATATCGTGTCCCTCAGCCTCCTCTTGCCTCTGACTGGAAGGCTGGAGGATGGAGAACCAAACTCCTCCCAATGGCTTCCTTTATAGAGGCAGGAGCTGGATTTGGGGGCTCACTTCACTCTGCATCTGCTGCCCTGACTGGTTTTTATCAACTTCATGGAACAAGATACCCCCATCGTGGTAAGCCCCAATTTCCTCCCCCCCCCACTTCCTTTTGTGTATGGTATCTTCCTCACATTAAATTGTAAGGTCCTTGAGGACAGGCACTGTTGAGGTCAGATTTGGGAGAGTGGTTCAGGTGTGAAAGAATTCACTTAGAGCTTCTCTAAAGTCATTGGGAGCTTGATTGCATAAAAAAGCATCATGGGTCTCCTCAGAAAGCAAAAGGAGACCCCAGTATTTGGGGGAGTTATGCTTATATAGAGATTCCAGAATGATGATGTAGTTTGGGGGTTTAAAGATTAAAGACAGAACAAGGATTTTATGACATAGGATGAAGGAGACAAAGAGAATTCTTTATGTCTTAAGGATTTAAGGATAGGGCATGAGGACACAGGTTAAAATTAAAAGGTGGGGGAACATAGGATAAAGGACACAAAAAGCAATTCTTTTAGTACAGGTTCAAGATAATGTGGAAAGGACTTTAGTTACAGAATAAGCTACAGGACATTCACAAAGTACTAGAAAAACAACCCTTAACCCTTAGGGCACCGTTTGTATCCACATCAGTACCACCTTTCTTTTTATTATCCCTAGTGCTTGGCACAGTGCCTAGGATATAGTAGGAGATCAACAAATGTAGATTGGATGGTTTGCCATAGGAAACTCTTTAAGACTATAAATTGCTGATCTGCATTGGTAGAGGGAATTTCCTTGCTGGGAATTTTCTGCACCAGTGAAATCACAGGTCTGGACCAAAACTACTGAACATCTAGAAAAGGAGATGATGATAATTGCAAAGATAATGGGATTTCATCAAGAACAGGTCATGCTCATGAAAAAAAAAATGCTGGATGGGGGGGTGGGGGAGAGGAAGACAACATATATAAAGAAACGGTGGCCAGGGAATGTAATTATGATCTGGAATGTCAAGAAGGTAGTAAGTAGAATAATAGGGTGGCCCATTGGCACCCTCTTTGTAGAAAACAATGGTAGGATACTCCCCCACAACCACCACCATCACAACCTACCAACTCTACACAGCTTCCTAAAGAACTGAGAAGTCTCCACCCTAAGATCAAACCCCTGGACATGTTAATAATCTATCTGAACTCATTCCTCAATAATTAACCAACTCTCACCCCATCATATCTTCCCCATCCCTCTAGCTCTTAAGTCCCAAGCCATCTTTATTCAAACCTGATTCATTATCCCCTACTGCATGCTCTCTTTTTATCCCCCCTCAACTCAAGATCCCCCCTTCCCCGAAACATCCCATTCTAAAGCTACTCACCCCTTCCATTGTGCTCTGTGAAATGTCTACTCTGTAGGTAACAAACTTGCTTTCATCTTAAGTATTCCTTTTCTGGTCCTTCCATCTTCATGGAGTCACCGAAACCTGGCAAACCACCCTTTCCAGCTCTGGTTGCACATTCATGCATACTTCCTCTCCCTCACCCCCCAACACTTGCACTGGTCCACCATGGGTAGTTAGAATATTTTTTGCTCCCCATTACCACTTCTAGGCTCTGCCTTCATCACTTAGTAACCTCTCCAACTTTGAGGTACACTTAATCCATTTTGCCACCTAATCAAGATTCTGGTAGCCTCTGATAACCTCCAGGACACTCTGCTTTCTTCAAAGAGTTCAGTACCTAGGCCAATTTTTTCCCCAACTCCTGTCCTCATACTAAAACACTTCAACAGATAGATAGACAGATACAGGTATAGAGATACTCCATCAAGTACCCTAACTTCTCAGTTACTCAATTTACCCACTTCTCATGACCCATACCCTTGGTTTTGCCATCACCCACAAGTGTTCTGTTTCTATATTCATGAATTCTGAAATTCTCGTAGCTGATCAGTCTATGTCATTCTAGATCTCCCTCTGCTTTACAACCACTAACCCTGATCTTCATCCTCATCATAATCTCTAGACTCTTTACCACTTAGTTCTCTCCTAGGCCATCATCCCTGCACAGGCTATACTCTTCTTCCTTACCTATCTTGACCCCTTGGTGAACCAGTTCAGCTAAGAATCTTGTCTCATATTTCACTGAAAAAATAAGGACGTCTGCCAAGAGCTCCTGTTTATCTCCATCTCCT